TTTTTTTTAGGAGTAATGACCCTCAGTTGGATCTCTCGAGGACTTTTCATCAGTCTTATTAATGAAGTGAATGCTGTCAACATATTGAGAAATAAAAAAATGTTTAACAAAGTTTTGAGAGAAGAGAAAAATGTAGTCCTTGAAAACTCTTGCAGGTAAAGATTTTTATTCTGTACTGTACTTTGTGGTTACTGCATACAGAAACTGGATGTCCTGCTCCAGGTAGAAGGTACATCAGAAAACATCTATACCAGGATAAATGAACAGGACATTAAGCATTTGATTAAATAACTTAAATGTGTGTCAGACCAAAAGACAAGAGTAATGGTAAAAAAAACTTGAAAGAAATAAGCATATGGTGATATTTTTGTGTGTGTCTTGATACAGTGAGAGGAAATGTCTTTCAATATTAAGTGTACTGTATATGGATACATTTCTAATAATACAGGAAGTGATGTCAACAGCTTAAAATTCCAAATAGAGATTCTGTTTCCTTCCTAAAATTAAGAGTCAAAACTCTTAAGTGTGTGTAGTGCAAGACGCCACTGCTTCTCCTATACCTACTGTATATCTGTTGAGGGCATAGACTGTATGTGAATTGCAGGGAAAACAGAGTCTACACAAATGAGTAGTTAAACACACACATAATGTATATTATGTATTGAACATGGACTAAAGGGCTGGAGCTCCAAAACACATGTATCATGCTTATACCTCGAGTGGATGAGAAAGTTATTCTCATCAGTGACTTCACAGATTATGGACCTGACACGTATAAACATGTCTCGACTAAAAACATTCCTGAGACTTCTTACTCTCATCTTTCCGTTGCATCCTTAGGGGGGGTTTACATCTCTACTCATCTGTCCACAACGGTGCAAAAAGCTAATTGTAATAAAATAAACTTGAGAATGTTATACTAATATGGAAGCATTTGGGTGAGGCAATGACACACATGCAAGGAATGTCAAATGAGGAAAGAAAGGTTAACCTAGATAGATTGAACATTGTAATGATTAAGTGTTATTGGATCAAAATGCATCTTTTCCTTAAAGGGCCGGTGCAGAAACAACGGGTTTTAGCTTGATAATCAGGGATCATTCAGTCCACTGACCCACGAACATGCTTCAGTCTTTTTCTTGTGGAGTTCATGTGTGATGGTGGAGGGTTATGAGAGCAGCTGGATGACATCTCTGGCTCTGTGTGCCCTCTGCTGGACATCTTTGTCCTCTGGTGCCTGTCCCGACTCTTCGACCAGCGCCAAGGCCTTCTTCACCGTCGTGTCTTTGGCTGCTCCTTGGAGCCCCTCCAGGTACTCCAGCAGCACGGAGAACTTCTCATCTGCAACCTGAGAGAGTCATTTATGATCATGAGTCATGTTGTCTGTAAGTTCAAATATTATATTTTTTAAAGAAAGATAAATATATTTAATAACATAATTATCTCTAAATGGAAAGTCTTATTTGAAAGGTAAACATGGTTTAGGTAAACAACAGAAAACATTTCTAATGATCCTTCTGTTAGATGTGATAACTAAGGTTTCTATATCTGTTTTTTTCCTATATATTCATGTTGCACAGTTGGAGGAGCCTGTAACTTAAGTTTTTCATTGTCATATCTACAGTGTAGCTAATGTGCACATGGCAATAAAGCCTTGAATCTTGAATTTGTGAAATGATGTCATAAGAAATTAATCATTTTATTTCCCTTATGAAGACTGAGACTGATGGCCAGTCTTTCTTCCTAGGACTTTGGGCACATAAACAGCTAATTATATTTTACAGTGGGTGTAACTCACAAACAAATCAAAACAGGAAGACCTCGCTCTGAGGTCAACATCGCTCTTACTCCGAACCTAAACTGCTAGAAATTCCCCATCATCACAACGCCGTTTTATTTTACCTGTTCGGAGTTAAACATGTGCTGCAGTAACCACGTCTGCCTGATCTTCTGGAACTTCCACTCCGCACGGTTTTCAGACCAGCTGCAAAAGACAAAACCAGAGCGAGTTGAGTTACGAGAAAGGTGTTGGTTTTTGTTACCACAGTTCGTAGCATGTGTTATTATACTGGGTTGCTTCATAGTGTTTACTTAGTGCTGTCCTTGCATACGCAAAACAATTGGAAGAACCCTGACCTTAAAACCTGCTCCAGAAATGTACTGTTGCATTATCGTATCACAAAAGACAGATAAGACAAAGACTAGTCAAAACCAAAGTGGTAAAGGGTGAGCTAGCCTGAGTTTAAGTCCCTGATTTGGGTCAATCTCAACCAAACTGAATCATAAACCTCCCACAATGCAAGATCTTTCATAAACCCTGCCTCTCTGGTGAACACTATCTTTTAAAGTTAATGCATAAAGTTTGCCACAAAGGCTTTTTGTTTTACATCTCAATCCAAAATAAGACTTCAGGGATTGTTGTTTTTCTTACAGTCTTTAAAAAGCTTTTTCATATTATTTTTGTTATTACTCCTTATGACTAGTATGCTGAACTTTGTGTGTGATTTCCATTTAAAATCTGATTTAATACATTCACCACGAACAACACCCACAACAAAGACAAAAGGTCACACTTCTGACAGCTTCTTACCATGAGTAACGCACATTATTAAAGTGGTATTTCTCTTGAGATGCTGTATTGAATTGTATTACATTTTTTTGTTGATTACATGTGATTTTGCTGTGAAATGTAACTTCATATTTGGTACCATCAGCACTAAATAAAGGGTTTAAAAGGATGGTTTTCAAAGCTTTTTTTGTCTTGTGGATCAACATCACAGCTTAAATACCGTAAAAATAAATGTTAACACTATATATGTGAATTGTTTTTGAGCCATCTTCTCCGGGCTTTCTGGTAAAGAGGATACATGGAATGATCGTTTTCTATTTGACATTATGCACCTGTCCTGTGCTAAATAAGAGCAGCTCTTACCAGGTGAGGTACACTAAGGCCTGCTGAGGACCAGTGGGTCCAGATGCCGCTTCAGTTTTCGGTACGGTCTCTCCCTCAGCTTTAATCCGCTTTTTTTCCTCCTTTTTCATGACCTTCTTCATCTTCCTCTCCATGACCCTCTTCTGCTCGGGGCTCAGGTCCTCCTCTCCCTCCAGCTCATTGGGCGGATCAGGAATCTGTCGAGGAAAAACAAAGGCTCATGGGAGTTATCTACATTAACAGACCTTCCTTTTTAGACCCTTAGGGAGGCTGTGACTCAGTGGTTGGTGTGCTGGACTTGGAATTAGGGGGTACAGTAGCATGTTCGAGTCCCACTGCAGTCAGCATGTCGTTGTGTCCCCAACACACTTCACCCCAAATTGCTCCTGTGGGGATTGCCCACAGTACTGAATAAGTAAGTAAGTCGCTTTGGATGAAAGTGTCTAACAAATGACATGTAATGTAATGTTATAATGTTCTGCATTTGTGTAAAGCAAAATGAAACAACCCTAAATAACATGTGTGGTGATTGACTGATAAGAAGAAATGTCAGAACAATAAGTTGGACTTTTGTGAACTGAACACATTTCCTGCCAACTTTCAGTATTGGTCAGTTTTCTGGGTCAATGCAGGGCAAATGCTTGAAGCATGACATATCTGAAATTGTATTTCTACAGTAAAATGTAAAAATAAATTAAGGCATATTGACAAGTGAAAGCTAAAGTGCTGTTTGAGTCTGAATCACTTCCTGTTGCGCTGCAGGTCAGAGGGCTGTTTCCTGTATCTGCAGCCTGACATCACACACATTTACCCTGTGGTGTGCAATATCCCTCTACCGCTGCATGTAAAGCACGCACTTGCACTGTATAAAAATAAACATGAGTGTGAAGCGTGTGAGAAAATGTATTTAAAGTTCCTCACTGCTAAACGTTGCTTTTTGCAACAATATCACAAAGGAAACAAGTTAAATGCATTATCTAGCTCCTCATTTGTCTGCAGAATGATTGATGCTCTGCAAATTATGCCAAACTTAATCTAAAGAAAAATAAAGAGACCAAATTAAAGTCATTTTACTGCAGTAGCCAGTACCGACAGCACAGTTTAAAGACTGCGTTTAAGGCTCAGAGGAAGTTAAACAAGGGGCACAGTATGCTCCGATTTAACGGACCTCAGTCTGCACGGTGGTGAGGAAAAAAAAAAAAGAGGGAGGGGAGGTAAGATTTGATCACATGGCCACGAAGTCATTCTGAAATTATGCTATCGAGGTATCACCCAAAGAAATATAAAAAGTCCTTCACGGTGAGCAGCTGTGTCCGACCAACGAGCATCTTTTTCAGAGCTTTGAGTGGAACAGCGGGGCCGGTGGAGACAAAACAGAAGACGAGGCGGTGACGGAAGCAAAAATGGTAAGTGGAAACATGTGTTGTTACAGAGCAGACGGTTACTTAGAGGGGGAGCAGACAAAGACTTGCTAACTCAAACATGTGGTCGTAGAAGAGAGTTTAGAAAGGAAACTTTTTACTAAACCTAGTCATTTTTTAGAGATCTATAATAAATCACTATCAGTGTAGCTCTTATTTTATGTGATTTAGGATGGAAATGCCCTGCTGTATGTTGTAAGAGTTCCTGTGAAGAACTCATTTAATGATTCATCGGCAGATAAGTTGTATTCACTTCTATAAAAACAGATAAGTGTAATGGTTCAGAAGTGGTAGAACTAAATGTATTTCACTTGTTTTGCACACAAAAACGTCTGGACTGGTGATAAATACTAAGTTGCCAAATTATCTGAACTTTGCAGATAGTTCTCTAGATTTATTTTAGTAACTGCTTGACAAACAGTGGAGGGTGATGCTGAAGAGCACAGGATGTCCTCACTGGGTGTTTTCTCTTTTCATTTCCAGTCTAACCAAAGCGAGGTTTTGGTCTCAACCGGGACGAACACCATCCTGAACACCTCCACTTCGACAGTCTTCCCTTGTGACAAAATTGCAGCCCAGGACATAACCTCCAGGGCGAACTATGTCTACAGCTTCCTGGCGGCACTGGGTTTCGTAGCAGGCTGCTTCCTGTTCTACAGCTTCATCCAGACGTACAGAGCGCTGAAACGGCTGGCCTGGCTCAACCGTCTGCTCTGGGCCTTCTGTGGCCTCCAGCTGCTGCTTCTGCTCCTCTCTCTGCACGTCGTGGTGCACACTCCTCACTACCTGCACACCACAGGTTTGGGCTGTGCTGCTCTCTCCTTCACCATAAACACAGTCTCTCTCTGCAGCCTGTTCGTTTTGGTGCTCATGGCTTACGTCCTGACCCTGGATCCTCCGTCCCACGCCCTGCTGAGGAAGCCCTGGGTCTGCGGGGCTTTGGTGAGCCTGACCTCTTTTCTGATTGCTCTGATGCTGGCTGGGCTTCGAGGACCCAGAGAGGGTATGCAGGTAGAAGATATGTGTTTTATGGATCCAGTCGGTGCTGGTGTGTCATATGCCGCCGCGAGGTTGTGCCTGGCTTTTCTGATTCCCTACCTCCTCCAGCTGGGACTTCTCATGGCTGGCTGCGTCCGGCAGTGGAAATCCAGAAGACGTTTCCTCTCCGGCTCCGAGGAGGGTCCTGTGTTCCTGACGGTCACTGTGGTCATGTTTTTCTGCCAGCTTTTCTACAGCGTGGTGCTGGTGAGAGGAGCACAACTCGCTCAGAAGGAGGGGCTGAGCCACCGCGAGCAAGCGTTTCTGACCGTGGCCAGCTTTGTGTTGTTCTCAGGGAGCAGCGCCAGCCTCCTGATCGTGCTGCTCATGCACCGGCCGTGCAGAGAGAGTCTCCACAGAGCGCTGAGGCAGCTGAGGGACTGCTGCAGGAGCCCAGGGGCCTCGCAGACCAACAGGAACATCATAGCCCCACACATCGAGATCACAGACACGCTACAGGATATAGAGTGATAGAGGACAAAACTAAACAAACTCTGCTGATGCATCAACAAACTTTCGGAATCTGATGTTTAAGACATTTAATCTATCTTTAAAATGTTTGTTTCTTAAATGACCATTTTAAATGTTTTACATGCATGTTTTCTCTTTTTTAGCTTCCAACTATTTCTTAAATTTCCTTTTTTGTACTATTTTATTTAAAACCTTTGGTGCACATATTCCAAATTGTGCAACATGTACTTAGTCCTCAGTGCTAAGTCAATGTTGCAAAAATGAAAATATGTTTATAAAGTTGTTGTAATAACTCCTCTCTGAATGAAACCATTAAAAGGACTGACTGTTGGTTGTCGTGGCAATTTTATATTTTGTTAACCTGCTTTTGACACGACACGAAAACAGACTTGCATAAACACGTCTTGCACAAAAGCCCATTTACTCAAAATGCCTGGAAAAACCTCTCAGTTTCCCAGAATGCAACATAGGAAAACATTTCCTCCAGGAAAATATAAGTCAGGTTTTAAGTTTCGTTCAACAGTGTCAAAACTCTCCATGTACTTATTTCTCAAGCTGTACAAAAAGTGAAACCCTGAACTTTACGGCTAATTTCATGAAATATATGGGCCCGAATTCTAGGAATAACTGAGCTGCACGGATCACATATTGCAGTGGTGCCAACACACAGTGGCGTGAAACGAGGGACCAGTAGGAAAATTAAGACATGGGCTTGGCATATGATGCTGGCGCCACATTTAGTTTCAGATCTGATTCACACTGTGTTAAATCTAAATCACAAAAGCAACCATTTCAGGCAAAATCTATCATGCCGTAGGCCAATCACAAAATATAAAATATGATGCATTACAGCATTAACTTAGCAAATCTTCTACATTCAACATTGTTCTTATCTTTAATAAGTCTTTGTGTTTTAAGGAGTCAAAGAAAAAAATGGAGTAAGACTAGCCTGCCTGTCCTTCTTCTTGTTTTGTGTAAATATAAACTATTGTTCTCTCTTTGCCAGGAATCCCTAGACTCCCATATTTACATATTGTAACATAATACAATCATAGTCATGTACACAATTTGGTATAAGTCTCGACAAGTGTCCTAAACTAACATAATTATGTATGCATAAGATAAGTATTAACAGAAATACACCGGGTATATTCATTGCAACTTATGCTGTATAACAAACAAAAGCAAGGATGAAAAAAAATAGTTCTGTGTTTTACCCAAAGATACTGTGGTGTGTGTGTGTGTTTGTGTGCATGTGTGTGTGTGTTTGTGTGTTTGTGTACGTGTGTGTGTGGTGTGTGTTTCTGTAAGTGGTGGGTGGTACCACAACACTTCTCTGGATTCACTGTGACACCTGCTTTCAAAGTCACCACCGTATGGACAGGGAGGATTAGAAAAACTGAAATGCAATGCAAGAAAACCAAGGTAGGTTCCTTCAAAAAATAAATATGAATCAAATATAATTTATATTGAAGCTAACTGACTTTTTCTTACAGTTTTCTGTATCTAGTTAAAATATGTACAGTCGATTTGCTTCAACTAGCAACTGTAGCACAACTCTTGAAAGTTTTAAGCTTCTTTTGAAGTATTTAGTATTTAATTGATAGAGAAGACATCTTTGATATTTTTTGTGTCCTGAAAGCCTATTAATTCACACTAGGGCTGTGTAACAAAGCAAAATCTTCTATACTCGATATGCATTCAAATATGCCATGTTTTCTGGTAATTCAGTTCATAAATTGACTATACAGTATGAAAAAACTACAAAGGAAATCATTTTCTGTGTGAATTAAATAATTGAAATGTAAAGTAAATTCTCATTTAATCAGGAACTCGATTGCAAGAATTACAGTTTTAAATAAAATAGTATAAATTAAGTATATGAATTTCCAGCTATTACGTGACATAAATATACTATGTGTACATGGATGGACCCAAAAACAAGGTTGTACAAATGTATTTCTCATCAAATGTTATGAGAAACTTACATTTGTATGCACTTGTTATTGTTTTAGAAAGCGTACTTGTGTATCACGATATCTCGACATATGAATTAATCTCGATAAGATTCCATTGGAATAGGATGAATATCATATAGATCGTAAGCAGCCCAAATTCTCAATACATCTAATTCTTAAGGAAATGAAAACATTGACTTACTGCATTTCTCCTCTCCGTCTAGAACAAAGAGCGGCCATCACTACACTTTCAAAAGGACCACGACGCCGAAAGAGGAAACAGATGACACCACAATCTCCACTGGGGCTAATACATTGGAAAACTACTGCTAACACCAGATCACCACAACAGTGCAATAAATAATATGGACACAACGATGTACGTGGACAACAGCGTCTTTCCTGCTCAAATAAATGACTCAAATGCAGTTATCTCTGATTTCCTGCTGGCAGAAAATCCTCAGCGTTACATTATCAGCCTCTTCCTCTCCAGCCTCTACATTATATTCCTGTTCCCTGTTGGCTTCATCGGGAACATCCTCATCTTAGTGGTCAACCTGTACGACAGGGGCCACCTCTCAGCCCCGGACCTCTACTTTGTGAACCTGGCCGTGGCCGACCTGCTGCTCGTTGCTGACTCTCTGATCGAGGTGTTCAACCTGAAGCGGGGCTACTACGACCGGCCGGGCCTCTGCACCTTTATGAACCTCTTCCAGCAGGGCAACATGTACAGCAGCGTCTTCTTCCTCACCTGGATGAGCTTTGACCGTTTTGTCGCTCTGACCGGCTCCATGGGTCAAAGCATGCCTCATCCCCGCCTCAGCTGCTGCCTCATCTGGGTCTCCTCCTCTCTGCTCACCGTGCTTCCTTTTGCCATAGCTCAAAGGCAGCACGCAGGAGAACTCCACTTCTGTGCAAATGTATCGCAGATTCAGTGCTGGAGGTGATGCTGGGTTTCCTGCTGCCTTTCTGCATCTTGGGTCTGTGCTACTGGAGAATAGCACAGGTGCTCGGGCAGAGTCAGAAGGTGCAGGGCGGCCCCCAGCCGAGGCCTCGCAGGCAGAAAGCTCTGAGGATGATCTCAGCAGCCGTGTTGGTGTTCTTCCTCTGCTGGCTCCCGGAGAACGTGTTTGTTAGTGTTCACTTCTGAGAGGGGGAGCAGACGGCGGCACGCTGTGGCAGGACTACCCTCTGACTGGTCACGCTGTCAGACTCGCTGCGTTTTCTAACAGCTGCCTGAACCCGCTCATCTACAACTTCCTCGGGGAGACATTTCGGGATAAACTGAGGACAAGATTCACGCTGCGCAGTTCTGCCTCAGGAAAATGTCTCCGTGCATCAGCTTCGAGCTCCTCTGGCCACGCAACCTGCTGCAGCAGAGTTTCCGTTAGAATTTGTTTTTGCCAGTCAACATGTCCGTTAAAGTTGAAATCTTCCAGACAAAATGAGACAAGTGCCAGTCAAAGGTCTTCGTTATTTATTGAGCTTTAAAACAAATTGATATGATTCGATATTAAACAAACTAATTATAGTAGATTAACTACATTATTTAAAAGTGTACAGTAACTTATAATAACACGGGAATGATAAATGGAGCGCTCTCTTCCTCTCCTGACAGCCCGTCAGTATCATGCAGCTCGCGGATCCAGTAATGAGTGACCCGAAATAAACATATATATAACTAGTTTAGGTAGTTTGAGAGGTAGCCTAATTAAAATAGCTACGTGTGATATGCTAACCTGAAGTGTGTTTTTGCTCCGCTCACCGTTGCATGTGATCATGCAGAGCTGCGTGTGGACTTGTCAGCAGCAGCTGATCTCTCTCTCCCGTCAGATTAGACTTCACTCGCGTTTATGTCCATATCGATCAGATCCAGCTAGGTCTAGCTAATGATATGCCTGCTTATCAAGACACCTAAACAATAAGCGTCACTATGCAACCGGGTGAGGCCGCAAAGTATAGCGCAGCGTTATGCATTTGTTTACATGCCCACCGGAACCCCGAGGCATTACCAACAGATCAACGCACAATCAACCCATACAGGACGTCTCTTTCTCCACATTAGTGTTAGACATTAGAATTGACTATTCTTGTCTGTCACATAAGTGGCGCAACTGATGCGGTATTGTGCTAAGGGGAAATTATTTTGACCGGAGAGATTTAGATTTGCCGGTCTTCAGCATATTTTACTGGTCAAAGTCCGGTAATTACCGGCTAACGGAAACTCTGTGCTGCAGATCCAACCAGTCTGCACATTCAGGCTCAAACATCTTTCCACAAACTGGGCTACTCCAAAAAATAAATAATGCCATCAGTGTAAAGACATCAATAATAATGGAGAATGTGAGAGAAAGGACTCCAATGGCTGTGGAACTGTTTGTGTTGAATCAGTTATTTAAAAACAATAAAAGGCCAAATAGACAAAAAAACTATGGGAATTCCTTAAAAGTGACACCTTCATGGCAACAAACCGGATTCTGATCAAATAAACTTCTGAACAGTGAACAATGAAGGAATCCTAACCAGGAAAAGCTGACAACAACACAAGGGATGTAGCAAGCATCCAACCAATCTTTGCCATACATTTATTTAGTAATAAAACTGTCTTTCCTCTCACTAACAACTGTCTTCCAAACATGTCTTAGATGCTGTGCATTTTGTTGTTTAGCACCATTACACATCTGTGTTTTGAAGACTGTATCATTTCCAGCACAAGTAACATTTTCTGTATGAACCCACACAAGTAAGCAGTCAAAATTCACCTGAATACTCACAAAAACAGGAGGAAACAAATGGAAAACACACATACCTCATTTTGTTCGGTCTGTTCTTTCTTTTTGTGTTTCTTTTCCTTTTTATCTTCTGCTGTGATGGTCACAGCCTGTACTGGAGCCTCCTGAAATAAAATATATTTTTATTTGAGCAATATCAGTTATTGTCCTATAAAACAGGTACGACTATCAGACACATGTTTGCCATTATAAATACAACTCAATTGTACAAATACTATATAACATCTCACTAACAGATTTCTCAAAAACGTGACTGTACATTTTGTTGTTTAGACCTTTCAAACATCTATATTTAGAAGACTGTATCATTGCTAGCACAAGTAAAGAGGTTTATGTATGAACCCACCCAAGTATACAGTCACCTGAATACTCACAAAACAAATGGAAAACACACGTACCTCAATTTGTTCTGTCTTTTGTTTCTTTTTGTGTTTCTTTTCTTTTTTCAGTTTTGTATCATCTGCTGTGATTGACACACTCTGTACCGGAGCCTCCTGAAATAAATAAACAATCATTGTTTATATTGGAGCAATTTCAGACAGTGACTTCCAAAAAAAAGGCACAGTTACTGCTGTAGTGCTCACCTCAACTTCCATCTTCTTCTTCTTCTTTTTGACTTTAGTGTCCATTATTTCTTCCTCATGAACCTCGCTGACATCTGAATTCAGCTTCTTCCTTTTAGACGGACTTGTCTTGTCTTTAGCCATTATATAAATGTTCTTCTGTAAAAACAAAACATGTTACTACACAACAGAACACATACATTGAACTACTTTGTTGGCATTAGTGACAGACAACATAAACAAAACAGAGACTGAGAAAGATGAGGGCTTTTGCATGCCTCATTTGCTGTGATAAACATAATCTGAAGCCAATACTGGGGAGTATAAATCATTTCGACCTGGACTATAACTAAATATGAAAACTCGCTGTAACTCGCATGGCAACAAATACAAATGCGACGCTGTTTATGGTATATACAGCAGTAGCCGCATAACACTGCTATTAACACTAAAATGATATCATAGAACAAACAAAGTATTTTATCACAGGATTCTCATACTTACTTGAACTGCAAAACAAGCGTGTTAAGATCTGAAAAGCACAGATCAAGCATGGGATCTCAACCAGGAAGTCATTGACGCCTAGGTGAATTCTGATTGGACGGATATCGCTCTTTGTTTTCTGATTGGACGACGGCTGTGACTGATTCAAAGACCCTCGATTGGATGGTAACTGAAACTTCAAGCATTTTTATTTATATTGTATGATAAACTATATTAAAAGTGTGATAAATAATGACGGTTCAGGATTGATAGTGGTTTGTAAATATGTCTCAGTACTAAAAATGCCGCATTACAACTGTATGACATACAATAATAATACAATTAGGCCTATAGTAGGAAACAGACAATTAAATGCAGTGTTGTTACAATGTGGTGTCTGAAAACATAAACGCAGCTAGTAATGAGGATTTAAATTATATGTATCAAACATGTATATATATATATATATATGAATATTAATGATAAGATGAATTATGAACTTAATTAAATAAATGTGGTTGCTGTTGTAGTTCAAAATGTGCAGTGATGTAAAAACATATGCTTCTGTTTTTTTACAAAACATCGAATACAGACCACTTGGGGAAAATACATTTTAACAATATGATAATTATAACAACGGGATAATTGTAATGTAAATATTTGTATGAAACAGACACATTATAGCGGAACGTTCCAAACCAGGGTTAAACAGCGTCACCGGACACAATTCGATGTTGCACAATGTTATATTACATGACCTAACCAAGGTGCATTTGGTAAGAAAAACTACAGAATCATTGACTTGACGCCGTTTGTCCTAAAACAACAAGTTTTCCGAGATGTACACAACAGCAGGACGGGTTTTCTCCAGCCTGACACGCGTGGCTTTAATTCGAGGGAAATTTGTTCATAATGCGACACCGACCGTTGGGTGAGTTACCTGTTCTAAATCCGCTTATAGGAACCACGTTGACTCCGTCAGAGTGTCGTGGTTCAATAACAAGGGTATATTTCTGCATGGTTGCATCATGTGGGTGGCTGTAGCCTGTTAGCAACATGGAGCTTCCTTATGTATAGTCAAACGTTTCGATATCTGTTTACCAAAGATGCAAACCCATACATAAAAACAAGGTCACACATGTTGATATTCTGCCATGTGAAGTTCTGTCTGTAGGGTTTGAGTCTCACTATTTGGCAGAGGTGGAAGAAGTACTTAGATTATATACCTAAAAACGTACCAATACTACAGTGTAAACATACTGAGTCCTGCATTCAAAATGGTACTTAAGTAAAACTAAATAAGTACAAGCATCAACATATACTTTAAGTACCAAAGGAAAAGTATGCATTATGCAGAATGGCCCATTTAAGCACCATCTATTTAAAATGATTGTATTATACTAATTGATGCATTAATGTGTTCATTACTTCAATTAATTACTCATAAATACAAACAAGGTCACACATGTGTGTGCTATGTAAGCTCTGTATAGTTTGAATCTCACTATTTGGTTAACCCTCTCCATATTGTGTCCTGTCCTGACATGAATTCAGATAGATTCCTCAATAGCTATAATACATTGCAGTATCAAATTAATATTAGTGTTCTTCAAGCTGCCACTATATGACGATTACTGTCCTAGCAAATGAAAGTACGAGTTATTTTACAAGTTAATCTCAGTGTACCAGGACCTGCTGAGTCTCTGTGTACTTGTAGAAGTATTTAATATAATATATATTACATCAGGGGTTTTAATTATACAAGGTTAAAACACTTGGATAACATATCATAATCGTGGGGGCTGCCAGGATTTGTTCGTCCACACAGCGGCGTCCACACGTGCTGTCAATGGTGCAGCTGCAGGATTCGTCCACAGAGGGCACCATCACTACTTACTACCTTGTACACAATAAACACACATAAAACTCAAGGTGACAGCATTACACAGACTATTAAAGCCCTACTGATACCAGATTTGGAAGCTGATCATTTATTTTAATGGACTATATTGGATCAAAAAGAAATGTTGATCCTTAATCCAAATCAGATAAGCCCCTATTAAAACCTTACATTTTATATATAAGTATTATTTGATTGTGTGAATGACATATTACAGTGAAGTAGGAATTTTCACAATTGAATATGTGCATTATTGGGTGGTTTGATTTATACAAATATGTGTAGGACAGGTATGTTATAGTTTAGTACAGCACTAGTAAAGGTTGTAAGTCCCTCAATTGTCATAACTCATTTATTTGTTTCCTTCTCAGCAAAATGAGCAGTATGCAGTCCCTCGCTCTGAGCTCTCAGAAGTCGGCTGAGTCCAAAGATGGCGCTGAGGAGGTGAACAGTGAGCCCATCAAGTTTTCCACCAGTAAAGCCAGTCACAGAACTTGGAAAGTCAGACGCTCGCTGGGGAACAACCAGGACCGCTCCTGGAAGAAGGTCCTGCCCGTCAGCCTGGTGTTCACCGGCCTGCTGCTGTGGGCCGTTCTGAGAGACTCTGGTCTAGAGCTGGACGCCCCGCTGCACAAGCATTTACCCAACGTGCTTTCAGACGAAAAGAATAAATCAAGTTAACAAATGTGGGACTTGAGGTGTATATATATATATTCTGGCTATATTTATTAACTGTATTTCAAAATGTAGCAGCAGCTTATTGCTCTGAAAACAGATTTAGCATGGATGCCGTCCAATGCTACAGAGACTGATTGTGACCATGCTTTGCCTTTCGATTTTCAGTTGTGGTTCAATGTTTGCTTTAATGTGATTAAAATGTGTGATTCAAGCTAGTTTTGTCTACCTCTAGAAACAATGCAATGTTCAAATCTTGAAATTAAGTCAAGTTGAATGCCCTTCCAGTCATGTGTTGCTTTATAAACCCCTGCAGCGTTTATATTACTTTCTTGAAGAGACTGGAGAAGACATGCAGCACAGTCCCAGGCTGGATTATACCCAGGTCCTCCACTTGGGAGACCAACCCTATGTAAATTCCTTTTCTGCTTTTAAAGTCAGCTATAATTAGCGCAACCTCAGTGTAATAATTGAAGCACAATTATACATTTAAAAAAGTAAATCAGGCCATAGTTTGAGGTAGCGGAAAGTTTATTTACAGCACAACAAGAAACCCCATGACATGCACACACAGGATTAAAAGGGTACAGATTCTAAAATAGTTTAGCAAACCTGAGAAAGGCAGTGGAATATTTTGTTATTCAGCATATTACAGATATGAAGCTCTATTCTACATTGAATGAGTTGAGGAGAAGGTAAAGAGGGAAATGAAGAGTACAAAAAGGAAAAACATGCCTGAAACTACAAATGACAACGTATGTGGTACACATGCTGGTAATAGTTCCAAGATTTACAAAACAACCCGGTCAATCCCAACCCACCCCCCCACTAAAAAGATCAAATCCATGAATCATTTATGCACGCTCTCCTCTAATTCGCCTGGCCAGCTGAATGTCCTTGGGCATGATGGTGACCCTCTTAGCGTGAATGGCGCACAGGTTGGTGTCCTCAAAGAGTCCAACCAAGTAGGCCTCACTGGCTTCCTACATGGGGAGAAGAAAAGAGAAGTTATATTTTTCCAAATGTGCTAGAAGAATCTTTCTAAATAACCTAGGCAAACAGAGGTTTTCTAAGATCTAGCTCCATCTTACCTGCAGGGCACCAATAGCTGCACTCTGGAAACGCAGATCTGTCTTGAAATCCTGAGCGATTTCCCTCACAAGACGCTGGAAAGGCAGCTTCCTGATGAGCAGCTCGGTGGACTTCTGGTACCGACGGATCTCACGCAGAGCAACGGTTCCTGGCCTACAACAAAATTATACATTTGTTAAGAACACCCTCAGAACAGAAATAAGGGCCACGTGAAGCAGCATTGTTTCACTCTTGAATATGATATCTGAGCACTGACGACCATATGTACCTGTATCTGTGGGGCTTCTTCACTCCGCCGGTGGATGGCGCGCTTTTCCTGGCAGCTTTGGTTGCCAGCTGCTTCCTAGGCGCCTTTCCTCCGGTGGATTTACGGGCAGTCTGCTTGGTACGAGCCATTATTCAACTGTGTTCTGAAAATGAAACAAATGAAACCAAAGCCGAATTAGATTTCATAAAGTAATGTGGATGTCCTCAATTTAATCATTTACAAGACACAACTACCCTGGTGAATTATAAGCCAGACTGCAGCAGCTCCACTATTAACGGTCGGTTATGACCTACATCCTAATTCAAACATAAACCCCATTATCACGAGATTTCACAGTTTGAATCTTACTGGAGATGACTGTAGAGCCAAGTTAAATGTTTTTAGCGGCAACTCATCTGTCTGGGGACCCTTCCTTGTGCAGATGTTGTGTAACCGGGACACCGATGGTTTTAAAAATTATACAAAACAAGCCTCTCTAAAGCAGAGCCACCATTAAGCTTCTGGACCCACACACGTTTATTTGCTGTCGTTGGCTAGCAGATTTTAAAGCTAGCCCCGACGGTTGCAAAATGGCGCCAGATAGCTTTCAGTAGCTTAACATCAATACTGAAAACACCGGCAGCCATCTAAGCCATTTTGATAAATAATAACTCCGTGAACCGCTATGTTAGATTGGTAAAACACTTTACTTGATGAATCAGGTTTTTTTTAAGTATCTCAAATGTAGCTAACGATTAGCAGTCTGGCTATGGCGCGCTGTTTTGTTGTGAAGTGATCGAAGATTAGCGCTCGTCCAACTGCATTTTAACGGCTCTAAACCACCTGGAAATAAAAACGCAGCTTACAATGTATAACAATCAAGGCCTAAGGTAGCTGTAAAACCATAGAAGTATTTGGCGCTTTCACGTTACCTTTTGTGTTTTTTTTTTCCTGGAAGTTGTATGTCCTTGTTAGGAGTCGGTTGTCTACAGTGACCGAAAAGAGGAGAAGGCGGTGCTATTTATACTCTGAGGAGCAGGCTTAGAGTCCCGCCTCTGAATCAATGGGATTGGTTGTCAATCAAATACACGAAGACATTTGATTGGTGGAAAAATAAGGTCTGTTGCGAACCGCCAATGAGAATCAAAGAATAAAAGACGAGGGATCAGTGTTTATGCTAAGGATCCTTATAAATTGAAACTTTGGATATATATATATATATAGGGGTTATATTATATATACAGTCTATGATTTGGACATATGATTGACAATATACTATTTTTATAAATGGAGTAGTCGACCCATGGTGTTGAAGTCATTGTTTACATTCATTGAATAACATTCATGAACTCGAACATTTTTCTTACCAGCCACATAGTTATCGAATTAGCTTTTGGTTTTACATCCATAGGATGTACTACGTTTTCCCTCAAAGAGTGGTAATCATGATGCTCAAATGCATTTATTTCCTTCAAATTAAGCAAAAGGGAACCCAGCTTCCCTACAAAAGATTTGTAATGTCCTGTGTAGTAATGTTTATTTTTAGCATCAATGATTGGTGTGGTCAGTGACAGGTGGTGACACATTCATCTTGTTTGATTTTAAGTCACAAGTTACATGTCTGATCAATTACATTACATTAGTTACATTTCGCCACACAGTCAATGCAGCTTTTGTTTGCTTTAAATTGTTTTTGATTGGTTTTTTACTTTTTTCATTTTTGTATGGCTTACATCTGTTTATACTCTCTTGTAAGTTTTTTTGAGTTTGTTCTTATTTCTGAGGCTGTGAAAGATAGAAAGCTAGAAATTAAACTTTTAGAGCATTTTATCATAATTTACCAAAATCTCCTTGTCTTTTTTTAATTTTTAATTTATAAAATACATCAAATGCGTCTGTAAAGTCTGTGTCTTTAAGTTTGTATTGATTGAAATAGTGTTTTTTCCTAAGTCACTCACTACACTAACTGGATCAGGAGAACACCAGCAAGCGGAACCATTCGCGCTGGGGAAAGATTCCCAGACGGACCGATTATTGGGTTACACACCGCTGGTAAGTTGACGCAAATGAAAAACCTGTTATGAACTCAACATGATATTACGGAAAATAAATAGAAGTCTATTATAAATGTTTTCTGAAAACTTGAGCCTGTTTCGCTAAGTTTTGTTTATCCCTGAAACGTCGAGGTAAATATTTCCGACCTCTTTCAGCTGAAACCTGCGACAGAATCAGAATGACCGAGCAGAGGCTGCTTTTCATGGGTACATTAAACCTTACAAATCATCGCAGCATGAACTGCATGATGTTTATAAGATCCTTTCTGTAAATGCATGTGTGTTCCTCCTATGATCTCAGAACAGCACTATCAGATTGTGCACAATTACGCAATACTCAGGCAGAGTTTTGCCTGTATTTATTTTTACCGTACATTTGAATTAACATTCGGATATATATTGTTCTTGCTGTTCACAAAACCTAACCATAGATCACATTTTTCTGAATTATTATAATTTACATTGTTGTAAATTATAATAATGATGTGTGCAGTTTCTTTTTTTCGAACATATTTCTTAAATTGTATTTAACTGAAATGAACTTGATTCAGTTGTGGGCTTTAAAGTTGATCATCAATTATGCTTTACATGCGTGTAATGTATATATAATATAACTAATGCAAAGTCATTGACTTAGAGGTAGTCATCTTAATGTTTGTGCATTCATTCAACAGATATTGAACCAAAGGCAAACGGCTCCACTCCTGTTGACGACAGAGCTGGAAGCCCATCTTGTCTCCAAGTGACAACACCTTTAAATTTGACTTCCTCTGTGACACATCTCCAGCACTTCAGGAGAAAACCTCTCCATCAGAGGGGACTGAACCAGCAGAGAGTCAGATATCCTTTACAGGACAGAGCTCTGCATTTACCTTCAACTTTCAACTACCTCCTGTGGAAAACATGGACACAACGGAGACCACTTCCTCTACAGGCAGCCCAGCCCGTGTGTCCAAGAGGAAAAGCCTCCCCTGTTGCAGGAGGTCATCTCTCCCCCGTAGCAATCAGAAGCAAAGCAGAAGAAGAAGAAAAATAAATCTGGGAAGAAAAACCCTGCAGATAAGACGGAGGGACAGAAGACAACCAAGTTCAGCTGAGGGGAGTGAAGGAGGCGAGGACACAGCGCTGGTCAGTATGAAGTGATTTCCCTCAAAGTGATCATAGTGTGTCCCAGTGGATATGTGAATTAGATGTTTGTGTGTTTCAGAGTGCGGAGGAGCAGCTGAACAGGCAGCTGGACTGGTGCATCCGAGCAGCTGGAGTCAGGAATGATAGTCCCAGAAAGTCACCACCCAAACAGAGTGAGTCGTTTACCTTCCATCTCACCAGAGGCCTATACTACGAAGCCGGATTTTCGCTTAGCTAACTTCAGGGAAAACTCTGGGTTTACGATCCTAACGGCCCGTCCACACAGCGGCGTGCGTTGAAGCTTCCAACGCTTCTGCCCATTCACTTTGAATGGGGTGACGTCACTTTTAGCAGAATTGCATTTTGGGAAGCGACGTGGAGCGTTGCTGGCGTTGCAAGCTTCAAAAGTTGAGCAATGTTCAACTTTTGGCGCCTCGGCAGAAGCGTCAGCCAATGAAATCCCGTTTATGCAAATCTGCCAGTACAAAGCGCTAGCCAATCAAACCGCGTGTATGCTGGGAGAGACTACGCAGGTCATTTCCTCATATTCCAAAAAATGGAGGGAAAATTCATTGTAGCGGTAGTGAATCACCCGGTGCTGTATGATCAGTCTCTGTTCATCTACTGGGATACAAACCGGAGGAGCGAGGCATGGAGGGAGGTGGCAGAGACAGTGGGGTGAAACTGGTAGGTTTTCGCCTGTTTTGGGGAGTTTATATCCAGTTTACTTCGTTTTAAACATTGCTATTGCTTTGTATGTCGGGGGCGGGAGATTCAGGTGATTGGTTGTTGGTCGCGTTGCTCGCAAAAAAATCCCCAAGCTTCAGACACGCCCAAGCGCCAACCACGCACGCTGCTGTGTGGTTTGATTGGCTAGCGCTTGTACTGGCAGATTTGCATAAACGGGATTTCATTGGCTGACGCTTCTGCCGAGGCGCCAAAAGTTGAACATTGCTCAACTTTTGAAGCGAGCATCGCTTCCCAAAATGAGATTAACTCAGTGAAAGCACTGCCTGCTGACCAATCAGAGCTCAGTGTGTGGAGTTTAAAGCGATCAAGTCATATTACAGGAGAAAGGAAATACAGAAAAACTGCCGTTGCAGGAAAGACGAAATTAATAGAATATCACCTCCCATCTTCAGAGCAATCTGACTAAGATTAGCGTTAAGAAAGCTTACTTAAATATCTGCCACAACATAAGTAAACCGGATCAAGTAACATTATGTACAGTCCGCGGCACAATTGAGTGCAGACGTCGTATGGTGTCCCCATTATCATTCATATCACCTCATATCACCTCATAATGTATCATATATCTCCTTATCTGAGTCAGCTGAGCCGTATCTGGCCGTGCAACACTCACAGTGTCACATACTGTATGCAGAAGTATTATTTTAAGCAACACATTAAGTTGACGAAACACTCGAGTCAAATGTAATTAAAGTCAGATCCACTCGTGTCTTAGACGGGGCAGTGATATCATAAACCTGTTAATGTGGGCATTCAAACACTTTTTCTTTTGCCAGCTGTATTCACCTTGCAGGTGCAGCTATGTTGCTGGTTAAGTCATGGATGTTTAAAGTTTAACTTCTTCATATTTGTCTAATATTATAGTTCACTTTTCATTCAGGAAGTATGATGCTGCGCTTTCAGTACACGCATCTCCATGTTTGTGATTGGTCAAATGTTGCTAGCCCCGCCCCTTTCATGTGAACGCGCTCTCAGCCGGACAGAGAAACCCTGGCTTCAGTTACCGAGTTGATAACCAGCGCCGTAGGACCGCTTAGCGAGAGCGCGTTTGTTTTGGATTAGGTAAGCCGGGTAACTCAAACATATCATGGGTATGTTGAACTGGATTCATAGTACAGGCCTCTGGTCACACAAAATATGACTTCTCAGACCATGTGTTGATGTGCACAGGTAATCAATACACTTATCTTAACTTGTATAGCACCTTTCATACAAACAGTGCAGCAGAAGATCTTCACAATAAGGGAAAATAGACTTGAATGACCATAAAAACAGGAATAAAAAGCCATAACTAGGCAACCAGGTCCTAGTGATTGGAACCAGAATCAGAAATCCTTTATACAACCCACAGAGGGGACATTTACCAGTGATACAGCAGCAAACAGTGCAGATGAAAGCAAAAAATAAAATAAGTAGGCCAACATGTTAAATAATTGAGGCGAACACAGATACAGTCAAATAAGTACAACAGCCATGATGAAAAATAAGCATAGTAGCAGCACAATACAAGGAGGTGAACTAGCAGCCAAGAAATGATATGAAATATAGAAAAAAACTACAGTACGAACCACTTGATACAATTATTTCAAAAGGAGGTAAATGCGTAAATATAGCGTATCTAGATACAGCCCACATGTTAATACCGTATTTTCTCCCTGCAGAGGATGAAGCCTCTCGAGCCCTGAAGACTCTGCGAAGCACCAAAGCTCCTCTGGCCAAGAAGAGGCAGGTGATGAGAGCCATGACCGGAGATTACAGGAAGAAAATGGACCAGGAGAAAAGCAAGCAGCACAAACTTATCAAAACCGGTGAGTGGATTGCAGTAAAACATATTCATGAACTGTGTAGGGAATGTAATGATATGTCCAAGTGCTGTTAATTGACAGATTTCTCCCTTCCCAACAGAGCTTGCCTCAGCTAAGGTCAAAGAAGTGTCCAGACACTCCAAAGAAGTCTGTTTTCCACCGGAGAGCTGACGTAAAAACCCAGACAACCCTCCACAGAGGATAACCTGAAACAACCTGAAGCCCAGGATAAAGACCTGAAAGCACAGACGCAAGAGGAGAAGTCAGCTTGTGTCTTTACTCCATCAAAGGAGGAGTTTTCGCTCGATTTTATCTGATTTATCTGATTTCTACCTGAAGACACGTTTCACCATACACGATGAGGAACTGTGACCGTGGGGATGCATTGAAGATACACATATACGTGAATCTAAATAATGTATTTTTTTTAATGTGTGTGTGGTCGTGTTTCATTTGTTTAATTAAGTTTTCAAAAATAAAAAAAGGGTTGTTTCTGCTTTGAAAATGTAGATTTGTTAATTAGATCAAATTGATGATACAGTATTGAGTTTTAGGGAAGTAGAGTGGATTAAAACAAAAACAATACATTATCATAGTGGGAGTATTCCAGAATCAATGTGGAGGCGTGTGGCGCAGTGGACTAGTGCGTTGGTGTTTCGGATCAGGGGAGAACAGGTTCAAACCCCACTGCAGTCAGCATGTCGTTGTGTCCCTGTGCAAGACACTTCACCCCAAATTGCTCCTGTGGGGATTGCCCACAGTATTGAGTATGTAAGTCGCTTTGGATAAAAGCGTCTAACAAGTAACATGTAATGTAAACAGTGTAGCAGTGTAGACAGGACCAACATATGACAGAAATCTACTGGTTCACGAAAGCATATTACATCCATCCATCCATCCATCTTCTCCCGCTTATCCGTGGTCGGGTCGCGGGGGTAGCAGTTCCAGCAGAGAGCCCCAAACTTTCTTTTCCCTGGCGACATCAACCAGCTCTGACTGGGGGATCCCAAGGCGCTCCCAGGCCAGCGAAGAGATATAATCCCTCCACCTGGTCCTAGGTCTACCCCTTGGTCTCTTCCCAGCTGGACGTGCCTGGAACACCTCCCTAGGGAGGCGCCCAGGTGGCATCCTAACTAGGTGCCCGAACCACCTCAACTGGCTCCTTTCGACGCGAAGGAGGAGCGGCTCAACTCCGAGTCCCTCCCTGATGACCGAACTTCTCACCTTATCCCTAAGGGAGACACCAGCCACCCTGCGGAGAAACCCATCTCGGCCGCTTGTATATTACAATTATACATATTAAAGCCACTAATTTAAGCCATTTTATTCATATTTAAATCGTGATTGTGCAGTGAAAAAAGATAAGCAGCATCTTTCACACAGGAAAGGGCGTGGTATGGTTTCAACACGAGCGCATTTGAGTGTGACACACCAAACAAAAAAGTTTCACCCGCTGAGAACTAACTCTAAATTACCTGCTGAATGTAAGTTTTAACTCTTGACATTCGCATATCTTGTTAAATATTTGATTATTTAGTGTGTCGTTTGGTTAACTAGTGTTATCTGTAGTTTTTTAGGTAGGTGTGTGATAGGGAAAAGTTCATACACGGATAACGGTGAAGCTAACACTGAGCTAACTAAAGAGAATAATTGGATGCTAAAAGGAAAAATAGAGGATGAACAAAATGTCCCTTTTGTCATGAGATGATAAAATAAGGAGGATAAAACTGTAGGAAGACTGTACCAGGCAAAGATTAAATATGTGATCATGTTGGTTAAAACGCTTAATATAATAATACTTTGGAAAGAAGGAAGAATCACAGTTAGAAGGACATGTATTCCACCAAGGTAGCATTAGAACAATTTCAACTCTGTGTATTGCCTTGACATCACCCGTGTGTAAACTGAATTTGAGAATATGTTTGATGGCTTTGTTGCCCCCAAACAGATTTAGGAGAACAATGGTCACTATGGTAAAGTATGGTAAATACAGAGAGAGGGAGTGGCAGCTTTTGTTATGTTAAAAAAAAAACTAGGACATGTTAAAGAGAGATGTGTTGTTGAAGAGTACGAGACACCTCAGGGGGACTCCTACTTTATTTAATGTTAAAATAAATGGAATCAAATGTTTGTAAATATGCTTTTAAAAATGTTTCCAAGACAATGTAAGAGATGTAAATCATGGTTCTGAAAATACATGATGTGATTCTAAGGAAAGGATGTCTAATTGAAATCTCCTGGGACAAAATTGGGAGTAACTCAGGGGAATGTAATCTGAAAATGAAAAGGATTATTTGTGTGTGCATTATAAACGTAACTCTGGTCTTTTAGCTGTGTGGAGGGAGGAGGTAGAAGATGTCTGAGCTCAGTGATGAAGCCAGTGAGTCGGACCAGCTGGGGGCCAGCCTCTCCATGTGGCTCGGGGACTTCCTGGTCCGCCCCGAGGAGCTGGACATCCCTCTGGACCTCCACACCGCCTGCTCCATCGGCCAGTACGACGTGGTGTCAGGGTGCATCAAAGAGTGGGTGCTCCAATATTAAAGATCGTACAAATATAACTAGATTTAACTGTTTGTTGACTATGGTCTTGTGTGTTTATAGGCGTGAGGTGGACCTGAATGGGAAGAACATTGGAGGATGGACCCCACTGATGTATGCCTCTTACATCGGCCATGACAACATCGCAAATCTCCTCCTGGAGGCCGGTGTGAATGTGAATGCTACGACTGCCAAAGGTCTGACCCCCCTGATGCTGGCAGCCAGCTGTGGGAATGAGAGTATCGCATACTTTCTGCTCCAGGTAATAAGTCAGTTCATGCCATGCAATGTCGTTTTGTTTGTATATTTAATGCAAACAAATCTGGTAACAAAGTCATAGGCTAAAGTTCAAGCATCTCTTAGCTTAGACATCATACCGATAGAAGAACGTTTTTGTCTTTTCTTGATTTACGTTTTGACATTTTGTTATTTAAAGTTTTAATAATTTTTACCCCAAAAGCATGGCGCTGAGTTGGAGCTGAAGGACACTCGAGGCTGGACGGCTCTGTTCCACTGCACCAGCACCGGACACCAGCAGATGGTCCGCTTCCTGCTGGATAACAACGCTGACGCCAATGTCAAGTCAGTGGCTTCATGTATCCCAAACGTACTGAAACTTACCAATCAGATAGCTTTCTATGACCTTACCCTAACCCTATGTCTTCCACAGGGAGCCATTGTCTGGTTTCACCACCCTGATGGAGGCTGCGGCTTCTGGACATGAAATCATTGTTCAGTACCTGCTCGATCATGTGAGTGATGTGCACGCAACTAGCCACAGTCAATGACATTTCACAACGAAGAGGATTCCTTACCGTCTTGACTTTCTTTGAATAATTCACAGAAAGTTAAAATAGATGAACGCAACTCTAAAGGAGAGACGGCCCGAGCCCTCGCCATGCTGTACGGCTACACCAAGATCGTCAGCCTCATCGACTCACGCTCTCCTAGGATCAAACCAGGTACTTTGTTAAAATAGATTTTACAACACATCTTTTCTGTCTTTTATTTCTTACTTAGTTTCTTTTCCAACTTGTTAAGGACATTTTGAGGACCTGAGCTCCTCTGAGGACTCGGACAGCGCCCCGCCGCGGGTCAGGCCGAGTCGAACCCGAGCTAAAGGCGTTAGCATCCATGACGGACCCAAGGCCATCGACAAGTTCCGAGTAGGAGGCTCCAGCAAACTGTGTGGTAGTGTCACATAAGATATCCTGCATCCATACATGTAGCATAGAGACTCTAGTTAGTCCAATTACACACAAGTATATAGAAAAAATAAATACAATCATGCATTAAGGAGATTGATTGACACTTACTTTGTTTACAGCTAGAATGTCTTGGCAATTAAGGACTTGGGTTTTATTCTGTATACAAATCTGTTACTTTTAGCACGATAACTAGAGGTTGGAGTAGCAGAAGGAGACATGAATGCCTGCTTTTCTCCTCAGAGCCTCCTGCAGCAGCGCCAGGCTACATTGCGTTGGGTGACATCGGCGAACAAAGCGACGGCATCTGTTACCGTGACGTGACCTCGCCCATCAACGAGCTGGACGGCCAGAGCAGCAACAGCAGCAGAGGTGAGAGGACTACCAGCGTTTGTGGCATCTGAGATAGGGCTGGGCGTGATGGAGAAAAACAAATCTCACAATATTTGTTATCATGATATTGAAGAGCTTATGATTAGTGCTTTCATACAATATTCACACCATGAGAAAGCTGATAAATGATCAGTTTTGTTGATCAAATGAAGAGCTTGCACAGTCCGTCTGTAATGGAGCCTTTAAAACCAGAAAAAGGCAATACTTACATAATTATGATATCTAAACTCTGAGACGATATCTTGTCCCATTTTTAATCGACATATTACCCAGCCTTAATCTAAAGTATGTAACCAGTATTCTTTGGAAGAACGACTGCATTGTATATTAAGTAATGTCCTCCTGAGCTACAATGTCCTTGGGTCTGCCAAAAGTAATTCAATATTTCCTGATCCCTCCACAGATGACAGTCCATTCCTAGACAACGACATGCCGACCATGAAGAGCAGCAGCAGCAGCAGCGAGGGTCTTCCTCACGTCGTGGGCCTCAGCTGGGAGGGCTCGGTGGAGAGCAACGAGGTGAACAAGAGCGAGGTCACCCGCTGATTCAGAGTCAAACGCCTTTTATTGAGACATCTCTCCGTGACCCCCTGTCTGTTCCTCTCCACCAGGACTCTGACTCGTGCAAGAAGAGCGTCTCTCGCCGAGTGAATAAGGGCCATCACTCAAAAGGAAAGAGTCGCCATGGCGGCAGCGATTCAGGAAACAGTGCGATGCTCTCACAAGTCGTTCTCCCTCCTTCATACACTGGTCCCAAGGCATGCGCTCATTTGTCTGAATTATGATTAGTAATGATGTGTGGCAAGGTTATAATAGTTTAGTGTTTTTTCTGAAAGGTATAATTATATTTTATATTTTAGCCTTAGAGTAGCTTTCAGTTTACAATAATAACCTAGGTGTGAGATGTATAGCCAGTTTACTCTGAAGTCTTCTTCCTGTAGGATCTGACAGAGTTCCTGGAACAAATCGGTTTCTCGAAGTACCTCCCCGTGCTCGAGGAGCAGGACATCGACCTGCGGATATTTCTCACGCTGACTGAAAATGATCTCAAAGAAATAGGGATCACGTAAGAGGCTCTTTCTCAATTCCTCAGTGTGTTGTTTTCTCATGGCAGAAAAATCTGACTCATCCTTTGCTCTGCAGACTGTTTGGACCAAAGCGGCGGATGGCCTCGGCGATAG